GCTACCTCTGTAACACCACACAGCTACGGCATTTTCTCTCTCTCTCTCTCTCTCTCTCTCTCTCTCTCTCTCACACACACACACACACACACACACACACACACACACACACACACAGAGGGTGTCTTAGTTTGAATCTCGGTGACAATATGCACAGATGAACACATACGAGACCGAAAAGATAGACAGGACAATGACCGAAAGGACGGTGAAAGACATATCACTCTCGCGTAAACGCATTCAGATACATCGTGACAGAGAAACGGAAATCGGCTATGAAGCGACAGAAACAATGAGAGGTATTTGGTGGGAAGGCGGGGGGGAGGGAGGGAGTGACTGCGACAGACTTTCGCAGACACACGAACTACATACATATCAAACCTGTCACGCTATATGCGCATATATATAAATAAATATTTACCGGGCAGCTCTGTTTGAATACATATATATATATATATCGGCAAGCTATCGCGTCTGTGCTTATGTATGTCACAAGAATATCAGAGCTCAAATGCGAAAAAAAGAAAGAAAAAAAAGAAAGAAAAACAGGAAAAAATGAATTCAGTTTATATATATCGTCACATATATATATGGTCACACTGTGAATCAGAAATATATATGTTGTGTATATATACCCTCAAACAGAGATGCCCGGTAAACCGTAGGCAGAGAGGGAGGGAGAGAAGAGGACAACAAACGAGGGGCTGTGACAGAGACTGGTTCGGCGGAGTTTCACCGATTCACCAGGAGGCTGAACCCTCATATATATGTATATACATATGTATATAATATATATCAATATGACGATGTATATATTGTATATAGATGAGTCTGGCATCGAGTCTCCTACCTGGAGTAGTGCGCTGCACATCGCCTGTGTTTCGTTTGAAAAGCGTGAACGGAAAACAGCCCATTTTTTGCCGCCTGCGTCCGTCGGATTCGGGCGTCCAATCTTACTGATCTTTAGGCAGCATCAATAGTCTCCCTTCTGGCAACTTCTCTCTCTCTCTCTCTCTCTCTCTCTCTCTCTCTCTCTCTCTCTCTCGCGAAGACCTGCCCTAGGAGACACAAGAAGAACCACACATCTCCTTGTTCCCCTCCTCAGCTCTCTCTCCCTCTCGCGCGCGCGAAGACCTGCCCTAGGAGCCACAAGAAGAACCACACACCTCCTTGTTCCGCTCCTCAGCTCTCTCTCTCTCTCTCTCTCTCTCTCTCTCTCTCTCTCTCTCTCTCTCTCTCTCTAGCACATACACACGCACACACACACACACTCCTTCTCCACTTCCACCACCGAGGCACAACAGTCAAATCCCCGTCTTCGCTATCTTCACCCTTCACGACCTTCCCCTTCCCTGGTTGTTAATCGCCCCTCACAAACACAGCCACCCTTGTTTCCCCTGCACACTCTCGCATACTTCCCCCTACCTGCTGCTCGTCGTTTATTCTCTCCCTCTGCCACTGGCCCTCTATCCACTCAAAAAAACACCCCTCTTTTCCTTGTCGCGCTCTCCTCCTCCCCCACACTCTTTACTTCGCCGATACGTGGGCCTCTTTCACTAAACCGCTGCCTTCGTTCAAGAGCTAGCTCCCGCGCTTCGCGGGCCTCTTTCACCAATCAATCGAGGCCTCGCCGAAAGGACACACGTGGCACCCCCCCCCCCCCTTACGCAACTCCTGTCCTCCTCGACCTGCTTCAGTGCACAATTCTGTGTTGTATGTCCCGACGAGCAGATAGCACGTCCCGATCGCAGCAGTCATAGATGCCTAAACTGCACGCCGCGTGCGCGCAAATGCCCATTTTCTCCGGCCGACTGCTTACCGACGGTGAACGGCGGGAAAGGGGGGGGCCGCGATAGGTGCAGAAAAAAAAGACTTCAAAAACGTTTTCCCACGACCAAGAGCGTTTTCATCACCCCGTGAAAGACATTCACCCCGCCAACGACCGGTCCTTCCACGCACACACAACCACACACAAGTTTCCTCACGACCGGTCCTCCTCGATAGATGGAGAGATCATACCTCCTGAAAACGTTGTCCCCCTCCTCGATAGAAGGAGAGATCATACGTCTCAAAAAAGTATTCCCGCCCTCCGATCGCCGACCTACCTCTCAATGTATTATCCGTGACGCTAACGTGGCACCCCCTTGTGCGACCTGAAAATCCACCCGCCGCACTCTCCGTTTTTTACGCCCTCATTCGTCTGATTGCCGCCCAGCTTCCCTTAAGCCTATCTCTCCCATAGATCGAGAAAGCCCACCAATCAACACACACCAATCATCACAGTCCGCACACCAATCTCCCAATCAACACACACCAATCATCATAGTCCGCACACCAATCTCCCAATCAACACACGCCAATCATCACAGTCCGCACACCAATCTCCCAATCAACACAAACCAATCATCACAGTCCGCACATCGGACAAATCGGCCACCCTGCCATGAATGACTCCTCAGTAGACATGAGGAGGAGAACGAGGAAGGAAGATGAGGAGGGAAACCAATGAATACGCACACACCAATCATTGAAGCCAGGAGGAAAGGCGACAAATCCAGCCTCCCACAAACAGCATCCTCGTGAGAGAAGAGGAGGAGGAGGAGGAGGAGGAGGAGGAGGAGAAGAGAAGAGAAGAGAAGAGAAGAGAAAGACACAGTCGCTCGCACTCCGGATATGTCGCAGCAGAGGGGAGCTTTAAAACTCCGCTTGGCCCTATACTCCCGGCCACCCCGTCCTGATATCTCACCGGCGGGAGTAGTAAATTTTCACAATATATACTTTTGGCGCGGCGCCTTCCCTACGCAACAACTCCGACCAACGCGGCTTCCACCAACCTCATTAAAAAGTTTCCCGCGCTTTCCACGCAGCTTCCACCCATATCATTCGCAAGTTTCCCGCGTTTTTCTTCCTCTTCCCGCGTTTTTTTCCCTCCTGCCCACCCCGCATACGTAACAACAACAGCTCCAGCTCTTTTCAACTTTCCCGCCTTCTACCCATATCCTTCTGCTTGATGATGGCACTCATGTATTCGCTATTGGCGGGCGGGACCTTTACAAAAATATCCCTCCGGGCGGGACCTTTACAAAAATCTCCCTGCACACACAACATCTCCCACGTCGGAGCAACCAGCTATGGTGCGAATTCCCCCAAGCACCCCTTTTTTTCTCTCCCTCGCTATCCCATACATGCTCGTCCTTCTCCTTCTCCTCCTCCTCCTCTTCGTCCTTCTCCCTCCTCTTCGTCCTTCTCCCTCCTCTTATTCCTCCCCCCTCCTCTTCGTCGCCCTCCTCCTTGTCACCTGGCAAACGCCAGCAGTGTCCACACTTTCGAGGTCAATCAAGCCGATACGATCCAAGCAGAGTAAATGCGAGAGAGAGAAGAGAGAACGACGACAGGCAACTGGCTCAGAGAGACGCAACTGGCTTACAAAAGTGGACCGAGTAAATGAGAGAGAACGATGAAAAGATAGAGAGAGAGACAGAGAGAGAAAGAGGGAGGGAGAGAGGGGAGAGGGAGGGAGAAAGAAAGGAGGAAGGGAAAAACGCGCTAGGTCACCATCACGAAATGCGACCCGACCCGCTCCGCCCCGCCCCGCCCCGCCCCACGCGCGCTGCGCGGGCCCGTTCTGCGCGCACTTTCCTCCGCACCGACAACACACCCCTGGTGCTCTGTCCGCTTACTTAGGACCTGCAGCTCCGCGCACCGCGCGCACCGCCCGCCTAATGTTAAAATTTTGAATGCACCTAGTCACGCCATTCGGCAACATCCCGTCGCGCCATTTTCACATTCACCGAGTGGTGGAACGCGCCCCTGAAGAAAAACAAAAACAAAAAAAACAAAAAAGAACGCACCCCTCCCACACCACTCTCGAAATGTGAGGAAAAAAAAAAAAAAGTGAGAAAGACAAAAATGTAGCGGGTGCATTTGGCCATGTTCTAGCGGGGAGTGCATTCGCATTTTGCAGATTTCGAGAGTGGTGTAGCGATGCCCTTAGATCCCGCCCACTCCAGCAGAGCAGACCTGGAGCGAGGTCCCACTAGCGAAGGGGATCGGATAAATTTCCTGAATATGGACGTGTTTTAAGCGGACATGCAGAAAAGCAGTTCAATCTCGACATTCTGCACCTTTCCACAAACACGTCCAGATTCAGGCATTCGATCCGATCCTCTGTGCTAGTGGGACCACGCCCCTGGCGGAAGACGAGTGGAGGAGGAGGTATGCAGCCCAGAGGGCTACGAATGTTTTTGAAAARAAAAAAAAAAAAAAAAGGAAGAAGAAAGGAGGTCCCAAAACAAAAAACAAAAAAAAAGAAAGAAAGAAAGAAAGGAGGTTTCCAGCAGCGAGAACGACAGAGAGCGGGGGCCCAGTCCCACTACAGGTAGCAGCGTTGAGTTGAGTTGAGGTACCTCAAAGCCCGAATCTGGACGTGTTTTGAGGAGAAGTGCAGTTCAGGAAACTCAACACGATTTCTGCACATCTCCGCAAAAGCGTCCAGAGAGATTCAGGCCTTGAGGCAGGAGAAGGGGGGCAATTACGAGGACGGCGAGGGGTCGGCGAGGGGTCGGGGATTCCGTATATCGCAAGCCGCCCTAGGGGACAGGGCGTAGACGCGGCTTCGGTATGCACCTAGACCTCTCTGGCGACCAGATACGACGAGAGAGGGTTCCTCTGCGAGGGGTCGGGGATTCCGTATATCGCAAGCCGCCCCAGGGGACAGGGCGTAGACGCGGCTTCGGTATGCACCTAGACCGCTCTGGCGACCAGATACGACGAGAGAGGGCACGACCGGGAATCTTACTTACGGAACTTAATGAAAATGAAAATGAAAATGAAAATGAAAATGAAAATGAAAACGAAAACGAAAACGAAAACGAAACAGCTGCCGAAGAGAAAAACAGGAGCCCCAGCTTCTTGCCTTTTTCCCAGAAAAAAACACCGTGATATGTGATGCAACACCGCGCACCGCTCGATCCGAGAGAGAGAGTGGAGCTAGGTAGCCCGTGTGATATCTGATGCAACCCCGCTCGATTCGAGCTCCCGTCTGTTGAGCGGCAATTGCGGCAGGCCCTGCTGTGTGCTCCATCCAGCCACTGAGCACGTGCACCGGCCCCCCATTGCAAACAAAAGACGCGGTTATTAAAAAAAAAAAAAAAAAAAAAAAAAGGGGTTTCTTGCCTCCAGTACAAAGTGCGCCATAGGAAGGTGTAATTTGAAGAGTATCCCTCCTGTCTGCATTTACTTTGTATGCCGCCCGTCCGATTTCATTGATTCATAGCGGGCCCTCCTGACCTCGGATCGATTTTGCCGAATATCCGGGGTATCCCTCCTGTCTGCATTTACTTTGTATGCCGCCCGTCCGATTTCATTTATTCATAGCAGGCCCTCCTGACCCCGGATCGATTTTGCGAATATCCGTTCTGTCATTTGGGCCTGCAAACTTATTGGTCTGGCCCCAGCAGGGCCTGTCCGAGTTTGTCCTGCGCCTGGTAGCTATGTCGTGAGGTGCAATTCTACAAAACTCTCTCTCTCTCTCTCTCTCTCTCTCTCTCTCTCTCTCTCTCTCTCTCTCTCTCTCTCTCT